AAAAAAAAAAAAAAAAGGAAGAAAGGAAGAGGCAGTGCTCATAGCTCTGTGGGTAGGGCATTGGCCACATACACCAAGGCTGGCAGGTTGGCAGGTTCAGCTAAACAACAATGATAACTGCAACAACAACAAAATAGCCAGGTGTTGTGGTGGGCGTCTGTAGCCCCAGCTACTTGGGAGGGTGAGGCAAGAGAATCGCTTGAGCCCAGGAATTTGAGGTTGCTGTGAGCTGTGACGCCAAGGCACTCTACCCAGGGTGACAGCTTGAGACCCTGTCTCAAAAAAAAAAAAAGAAGAAAGAAGGGGCTTAAGCTACTTCAAAGGAAAGAGATAGCAACATTAAATCTCAAGGAAAAAGAAATCTTTTATTAACATAACTCATAGCTTACATGAACTCACTATTATCAAGAGTCCATAAAAAGGAATTTCTGTGTGCAGAATACCTTTTAAAGAAGTATGTTCTACTTTTTTATGTTTTATCCACAGCACTGAACACACAGAAAACACCTTGTAAATAAATGCTTGCTGAATGAAAGGCAAAATACTTTCTTAATACATCCCAGGGATTACATAGGTCCATGGCCTAAAGTCTGAAAACCTGCTTGTTATGGAGGCTTGAGGTAGACAGTTCATCCACCTTCTCATTTGGAAAATGTCAATAGTGTGACCCATTCTACCTCAACAGTCTAGATTCTCCTTGAGGAGGTCTACAAAGACCTTTAGATGCCATAGAGAAGAATGTAAAGGTACCATCAGAGACTAGTAGTCAACATTGAGGTCTCAACTCATAAATAAGAACTTACAGTGATTCCATCCAGTCCTGGAAGCCCAGGATCCCCCTGAGAAAAAGACAAAGGCAGGACACAGAGGGTTTAAGAAATTAAATCTGAGATATTTTGGACAACTAACCAAAGATTTAAATGTATCACTGAAGCTTGGGCCCCCTCTGTCAAGGCCTTGTGTTTTAAATAACACATGAATTGGACATATTCAGGCATTTACCTTTTTCTCCCTAAGAAAAGTCTGGACTCTAGAAGACAAATATAGCTTTGGCTGAACATGATTTCATATTTTACTTGGATTAATTAATTTTCACCTTTGCTAGAAACTTATCAATTAGAAACTGCTTCTGCAGGCTGGTGATTTTCCTGTTCTTTTTGGAAGAAAGTAAAGCTACCTTCCCATGTGCCTTCATCCCCAGAGATTATGTGCCCATACGTACACAATGCAAATCAGACATTTCAAGAAAATCAACAGAGCATACAGTCTCTGATTACGTTTTAATTACTTTGCGGCATCTTAAGTCACGGTATGAATCTGTAATAGAACCACCTTGTGGAAATTGCTGTGTTCCACTGGATCCAGGCTCTCTTTGGTATTTGGCAAAACCATTTAATTAATGTTTACTAAGACAATGGCCATATTTTGACATCTTTTAGTCTTACCCCACTTGGCTTGTGGCCAAAAATCAGCTCTCTGTAGCATGGGAAGAAAACCCTGTCTGGTTTTTAATTCTTTAGTAAACTGGCTGTATGGCTCTGAGCAAGTCACATAGCCTCAGTATACCTCAGTTTTTCTGTCTGTAAAATGAGCAATATGAATCCAGCTATCACGAGGTCCTTTCCAACTCTAACATTCTACCTTCTATTATGGCACCTATAGTCAAGAGACAGTTCTCCAGCCACACACTCCTATTCACTGCCTTCCATAGTGATTTCCAGCATCTCAAGCCCCATGTACTGATGGAAGACAGAAAAGTACCATCAAATAGCTGAGTGAGATTGGTGCATGTTCCTCCCCTCAGATGCTGGGCACACAGATTCCCATTTACCACAGGGCAATGGGCTCCCTTCCCACTCTGCAGGGGAATAGGGTCAATCATTTAGAGCCAGCATTTACTGAGGCCCTATCGACGTCAGGCAGCATACACACAGTCATAAGCTACAAAAGGTTCTTGTCAATTCTGGGAAGAGATAAAAGTTTCTAGCTAGCTGCCAAAATGATGAGTAATTTCTGCAGACATTCAGGGGCCCAGCTAGGGTGATAGACTGGTGTGCAAGGACAGAGACGAGAGGGGCCCAGATATTGGGCTGGTAGCCTTATCGACACAGGCAGAGACTTACATGGCTTCAAACCAAGGTATATAGACATCAATGATTCCAGAGTAGCAAAAGGTATCTGTCTTCAGGAAGTGTCTCGGCTTGTGAAAGAAAACGCTACCCATGCAAACTGTTTGTTTGCTGATCTGTCTCCTATTTTTGGTCTAGATCCTACAAAGCAAATCTCTTTGACAGTATAGTTGCAAACATTTCTGTTAATGTTTCCACCACAAAAAGCTCCAGATCCTTTTAAATCCAGCTTGGTCTGCTCCTTAAATAGAGACACAGATGCTAGTTCTGGAAATGTTTTTACTGGAGGTGTGGCCCAATCCCGGGGAACCCAGCTTCCAGCCTACTCAGCTGTCTGCTTTATAAGAACTTACCTTCATTCCTCTGAACCCATCCTGAGTGAAGACTGGGTCACCTTTTGAACCTTTCAGACCAGGAAGCCCCTGAGAAAAATAATAAGAAAAACTTATGAAGAAAGACATAACGCGTAGTTTTGTCAACTGACCTGATCGGATAGAGAATGGACCAGCAGGAACATGAAATTGTGTGGCTTATTCTATGGCAGAATTGGTTGTAGTAAGGACAAAGCACATCCCCTGAACAGGTCCCGTGTCTCAAAGCTGTATGCCCATTCCCCCAGCCCCCAAATCAGAGGTCTGTAGAAGAATGGAGGTTTATAAATTAGGAGACTTTACATCTATTCACAGCACTGGTCTGAACAACCATATATAATTTATAAGCTACAGTTCACTGTTCCACCTCCACAGGTAAAAGTTACTGAAATGACCTTTGTCTAGGAAAACAATAGGCAAAATTTTTTATGTAAAGAGCCAGACAGGAAATAATTTGAACTCCTTGGGTCCCATCTAGATGCTATGCCATATTTTTCTTAAAAAAAAAAAAGACAAAGCTTTGAAAATGTTTAAAATAGGCTTCGTGGGCCAGTTTGTAGGCCTCTGGTCTAAGAGATAACTACAAAACCACCTCAGCCTGTACTTCTACCACACAACTTGAAGTTCAGCTTCAACACCTGTTTAAGAGGCTGCCATGTCTCACTGTTGACATGTAAGGTGACTGCAGTTTGGCCAGGGCTGGATTTGAACCCACCACCCTCATTAAAGGGGTCTAGCACGCTACTCACTGAGCCGCAGGTGCTACCCAACATGGAAGGTGATTAAAAGTATCCAATCCTAGTGTTTCTACCAGATTTTTTGCTACCTTAGTGACAGATGTTGGCTAATATGGGCTAGATTGAGTCCTCCTGGGGAAAATGTCTCTACATCCAAGGGGAAATCAGGATTAGTACTGGGGGAGGGGGAGGGTTAAGCTTTAGGGACTGAAATGTTGATTGAATAATAGATTCCTTCAGTATAGGGGTCACTGGTATATTAAAAGAACAACGTAGGCCAGGAACCACAAACCAGTTTCTTTCCTAACACCGTTCCCCCTTATTCTTGTGGCACTATTCTCTTCAGAGAACCTTCAGAGAAGCTGCCTGAATGGAGATCCCCTTGGTATTCAGCAGAGGGTAAAGGCTCAAGGTACTATTTAGGCTTAAGGTGAGCTTTAAGGGACAGGGATTCGGTTTCTACCCTTGTCCTTTGTCTGTGAGGGCCTGTTTATTACCTCAAGATCTCTTTCATCCCTCTCGGGGGCAGCACTTCCTTACCTTCCATTCTCAACACCGCAGTGTTTTTTATTCTCTTCCCTTGTTGCCATGGCAGTGTTTGGGGGCCTTTGTGACTCGCACAGCTCATTCTATGTTAGCAATATGTCTTTCCTGCATCTCCCCACACAGCCCACGCTGTATATTTGTTTGGTCCTTAGATGTCAGGCTCTGTTATGACAATTTGGGGCTTGTGCTTTGTCTGTCTATCTCACTTTCTAACACATGTACTCACACCCACAACTTGGTTACTGGAGTCAGTGGTGCTACTCTTCCAACGCTGCAGCAATTAATTCATATAGCTATGAAATCTGTCTAATGGATGATGTGATTTCTGGTTAAATATCTCCTATCGGTACACTTACTACTTTATATTATTTCAAGTGCAGTCAAGAATAGGCTTGAGGGCTCAGTGCCTATGGCTCAAGTAGCTAAGGCACCAGCTACATACACCTGAACAGGCAGGTTCGAATGCAGCCCGGGCCTGCCAAACAACAATGACGGCTGCAACCGAAAAATAGCTGGGCATTGTGGTGGGCGCTTGTCTACTTGGGAGGCAGAGGCAGGAGACTCGCTTGAGTCCAGGAGTTGGAGATTGCTGTGAGCTGTGATTCCACAGCACTCTACCCAGGGGGACAGCTTGAGGCTCTGTTTCAAAAAAAAAAAAAAAAAAACCAGAATAGGCTTGAAATGTGTTATTTTGAATGGGGCACGGTGAGACTGGGGAGAGAAGATTCCAGGCATCTCTGGCTGGTGGGATCTGCCCAGAAACATCCCTTTGGGGACACACAGGGAGTCAGTGAGAGACTTTTGGACCCCATGAAGAGGACAAAAGCAGTGGAGAACTGGCAAGTGGTTGCATGTGTTTGTTTGGTCTAATCCTGTTGGTAGTTGTAAGTACAGCAGCAATGAGACTGCAAACTGGAAAGGCCTTACCTACTAGCTGTTTTTTGTTTTTTTTTTTTTGTTTTGGACTTGGAACTCAGTTGAACTACCTTGGGAGAACTTGGGCAAGAGTGAGGAGGACTTTAAGTGTTGTCTAGGGTCCCAGACTGAGCCACTGAGCCGGACAGAACTAATAGTGTTTAGTTGTGGGCCGTGCAGAGCCATTGTGGGAGAACTGCCTTGGCAAGCTCCACCCTCAGGGTTGCAGAGCAAGGATTGGGCTGGAGACCTTGGGCGAGTAATCTAGTGACTGAGCAGCCTAAAGGCGGGAACTAAGACGTCTTACATCCCTGGCCCTCAGGGGCACAAGTGAGACCAGTTTTGGCACACTGGGTAAGTGGACAGCCACTTCAGGAGTGATCACAGTGACAAGTGCTTTCCTGGGAAAGCTTCTACTTAGCCAAGGTTAGCAGTTTAAAGTGCCTTGTAAGCGGGCTGAGGAGAGATTTAGGCTCTCCACCCTGCAGGGTTTGAGAAATCAGCAGAGGCCTCCAGTCTCTATCTCATATAGCCATATCAGCATTGTGATTAACATCTCATACCCAGAAGATCACCTGTTGCTCAGACAATATTCAGCACAATATATATTCTGCTTTGTTTTCTTTTTGTTTGTTTGTTTTAATTTCAACATTTTCCCTCTAGATTTTTCTTTCTTTTTCCTTTCTTTTCTTTCTTCATTTTTCTAGTTTAAATATAATTTTTCATTGATACTTCCTTTAACAATTATAACTTCATTTTTGCTAGTGTTTCTACCCTGATTATTTGTTTTTCCCCCTAATTTTATCCCATAAAGTTTTCTGTTTGCTTGTATTGGTTTGATTTATAGCATTTTTGTCTTTTCTCTCTACTTGGTGGAGGTGGGGTACTGTGTCTGAACAGGCTAGCAAAGAGCTGCTGACCTCAAGGAAACCACTCAACCCAGCACCCACAGAGGTTGGGGGTTTTTAAGATTAGGTCAAAGAACCCTACTATATACCTATATTGATCCTGTTTCCCTCTTTCTGTGCCTCTCTTCTTTTTTGTCAATATTCCCTTTTACTCACCCCCTCTCCTTTCTCTTTTTTCTTTTCTTTTTTCCCTTCTTGCTGTTCAATCTTCTCATCCTTCTGGTCCTGTACCAAAAGACTCATTGAAACCCTAGTCCAGAGGCATGGTAACTTAAAGAGCAAGAGGAAGTAGAAGGACAATTAGGGCAAGGAAACAGATAAAAGAAAACAGTCATGAGGAAGAATCAGCAGAAAAATCCTGGCAACATGAAAAACAAGTCCATAGCAATCCCCCCAAGGGACTGTTAGGTAGCTACTGCAGAGGATTCCACCTATAAAGAAATGTTAGAAATAACAGAAATGGAATTTAGAATATAGATGATGAAAACAATGAAGGAAATGATGGAACCAATGAAAGAAACTGCTGATCAAGTGGAAAATAACCAAAAGGAAATCCAAAAACAGAATCAAATAAGAGATGAATGATATGAAGAATATAGAAAGGATATAGCAGAGCTGAAGGAACTGAAGGAGTCAATTAGGGAACTGAAAGATGCAATAGAATGTATCAACAACAGATTAGACCATGTAGAAGAAAGAATCTCAGAGGTAGAGGACAAAGCTCTTGAGATAACTCAGATAGTTGAAGAGGCAGAAAAGAAGAGAGAGAAAGCAGGACATTCACTCACAGAATTATGGGACTTTATGAAGCATTCAAACATATGAGCTATAGGTATCCTAGAAGGGGAAGAAGAATGCCCCAGAGGAATGGAAGCCATACTAGAGAATATTATAATTGAAAATTTCCCAAATATCACCAAAGATTCTGACACACTCCTTTCAGAGGAATATCAAACCCCCGGTTGCCTCAA